TTGTTCATTGTGATGATGGGAATAGACTAAGTAAAATAGGACATAATAAAAACATAAATTTTTACTACATGTGTAACATAAAAACATAAATTTTTACTACATGTGTAAGAAATAAGCCATGACTCGAGTGCAAATTGGAGAATGTGAATTAGTAAAACCATCTATTTCAGCTACAAATTTCCCTTCTCTAACATTCAGCTCTGGGGAGTTCTATTTTTAGAAAACTTGAAAAAGACCTAAAGTGCTACATGGTAAAATAAAATTTTTTTCTCTTATAAATGTAGGTCAACATCTGTACAGTTGTTTCTGGAGTAAAAATGAACGAGCAGGAACATAATCAGAGTGCTGGATGAGGTATTATGTTCGCACATTTAAGTTCATTTATGATCAAGTTCCCAAAAGTTCACTAAGGTGATCCCCAATGTCTGAACTTAATTTTAATTTCAAGATTAATAAGGACACTAAATTCTTTAAATCTACACATAAAAGTCTATGTAAATAGAATCATTTCCGATTCTGTTCTAGCTATGACATGAAAGCTACAGATACTAGCTGGTTCCACATTCCAAAACCAGGTACACAACTAAAATGCAGGTCTTGCCAAAAACAACAACAACAACAACAAAAAGTGTTTAAAAATCTGGTCCTGCAACTCCCAAAAAAAAGGTCAAGATAAAAAAATAAACTCAAAGGAAATATTAGGAAAAAACTTTGATGGGCTAGCAAATACACACCCTTTCCATAAGAATCAGAGAGGAACTGCTTCCTACTCACTTCAAGCCTCAAAGGGGGGGTTCCATAAGCCTGGCTTATGTGCTGGAAGAGAAGCCAGTTAGGATGGAGAAGGGACCACTCAGTCAAACATGGTTGGAGGGATCACCCACGATGGGAGATGTGTGCTGAAAGTAGATGAAGGACCAAACGTGATGGCTTCTCAGTATCTGTATTGCAAACCATGATGCCCAAAAGTAGAGAGAGAGTAAGAAAGAAGGTGCATGCCACAGAGGCAATGGGTGGCAGGAGGGATACTGGAGACATTGTTGGAAATGCACACTGGTGGAGGAATGGGTGTTCAATCACTGTATGACCGAAACTCAATCACAAAAGCTTTGTATCTGTATCTCATGGTAATTCAATAGCACAGCGGGTATGGCGTTTGACTTGCACATGGCAGGGCATCTGACTTGCACACAGCCAACCCAGGCGACCCAGATTTGATTCCTCTGCCCCTTTTGGAGAGTCCAGCAAGCTACTGAGAGTATCTCACCCGCACGGCAAAGCCTGGCAAACTACCTGTGATATATTCAATATGCCAAACACAGTAACAATAAGTCTCATAATGGAGATGTTACTGGGCCCGCTCAAGCAAATCGATGAACAATGGGAGGACCGTGGACAGTGGATTATTATTATTTATTAAGGGAGTTTCCACATGATGATCCAAAAGTGTGTCCCCAGGAATGATCTCAAGTTGTCTGACACATCAGAACAAACCAAAAAGCAAAATATCGCTACTACTAACCAACTGTGCTGATGCCAAGCTAGGAGAGTGCACTGTGTTGTGAATGTTCTCCACCTTCTAGGTTCCAAAGAATAAAGGAAGCATGAGCACTTTCTTCATTGAGGTCTGGAAACAAAGAGTATCGGCATGGCACTGTCTTCTGTATTGAGCAATATCAGCCCCAGGACGAGTAAGGAAACCTTAGGAGAGGGAAGCTTGGGTACCAACAGGTGGCCCAAGAACTGATCATGACCCCCCGACCCACCAATGGCAGAAGACATACTCCAAAGCATCCAAGATACTCCAGATGAGGGACATCCTTGCAATGGTAGAGGGGCTCAAAGAATTTGTAAGCAGGAAAGGTGTTCAACTGAAATGCCTGCCACACCGAGAAGGCTCTAGTGCCAGATAACAACAGGTCGACCTTGAGCCACACTAAAGAGCTGCTTTGTAGGACAACGTGTGACAGATTCATAAGACTGATCCTTGTACATCAAGCAAATCTCTCTCTCTCTCTCTCTCTCTCTCTCTCTCTCTCTCTCTCTCTCTCTGTCTTTTCTTCTCTCCATCTGATTCAATCCTGGATGAATTTAACACAGTGTAGTACAATGGGGACAAGACAGCCAGACAAATCAGAGAGAAGGCATGTTAGTGTTTGGAACGGAGATATATTAGCTATTATTGTGGAATGTGACCCCAAGTGGCCTTTTCTTACCAAAGAATAGCCAGTAAATAAATGGTGGGATTTGCCTCCATTTCATAGAAGGAATCGAAGAATTGGTACCCCAAGTCTGAATGATCAAATAAAAATATTGTGGAGGTGGCAGGTGTGGGGGAGGGGCCTGGGGAGGAGTATTGCATAGTGCTGAGTTATGCGTTTGAAACCTCAAAGTTACACATAAATAACTGAGCACTCCAACGCTGACCAAGCGGTCATGTTCAGAAAGACTAAAGTGGTGATCCACACTTCTAAGTCAAAAAACATTTCCCACTGAACTTGGTATGGTTAGAGTTCTAGACCTATCCACAAAAGCTGACTCATAAGCATAATATTATAAATGAAAACAAATGGTGTTTTTTTGCTATCCACACCAGATATTGCACTGATTACCTCCTTTTGGGGGAGCCAACTGGGTTTTTGTTGTTGTTGTTGTTTTACTTTTAAATTTTTTTCATTAATTTTTCTATTTTTTAACTTGGGGGGCCACATCCAGTGGTACTCAGGGCCTTCTCCTGGCTCTATGTTCAGGGATCAGTCCTGGAGAAGCCTGGGGGACCTCGTGGGACCAAACCCAGGTCAGCTGCGTAAAAGGCAAATGCCCAAACCACTGTACTACACAGCTCTGGCCCCAATACTTTTAAATTTTTTATTAAGGCACGATGACTTATACAAAGTTATTCCTAGTTAAGTTTTAGGTAGACAATATCCCCACACCAATCCCCCCACCAGAGTGACCTTCCTTGCACCAATGTCCCCAAGGCCCCTCCCACCTCCCAGCCTGCCTCCTTGACAGGGCCATTTTTTAATTTGCTTGTGGTACGTTAGGAATCAAAGTTTCTTAAGTTTCTATAGCCTTTATTGCCCCGGCCATCTGCATTTCCCCTCTGCCATTAGACTGGCTCAGAAGACAGCAGAGATGGCAGCTAGAGTCTGCTACCTACCGCCTCCCCATCACAGCCCCGGCACTGGGGTCCCCCTCCAAATCCCCTTCCCTCTGCTCTGTGGCTCCTCGTGCTCCTCTCCTCCCAAAACGAGTTGCTCTTTCTTGCTTTGGGTGTCCCCATTTCTTAGCTGCTGGATAGAGCGATTTCTAGGAGAAGCTGAAGTGCGACTCGGCTCTCTCCAAACCAGACCGGCCAGCCCTGACTTCTCTTGCGTCTGTAATGGGCGACGGTGCCAGAGACCACACATGAAATCCCAGGATCACTTTTGTTTTGGGGGGTTTGTTTTTTGGTTTTTGTGTCACACCCAGTGATGCTCAAGGGTTACTTCCGGCTCTGCACTCAGGAATTACTCCTGGTGGTGCTTGGGGAACCATGTGGGGGATGCCAGGGATCGAACCTGGGTCAGTCACTTAGAAGGCAAACGCCCTACCGGCTGCACTATCACTCCAGCCCCCAGGGTCACTTTTTTTAAAAGATTAACTGTTAGGGGCTGGAGAAATAGCACAGCGAGTAGGGCGTTTGCCTTGCACGCTGCCGACCCAGGTTCAATTCCCAATATCCCATACGGTCCCCTGAGCACCGCCAGGAGTAACTCCTGAGTGAAGAGCCAGGAGTAACCCCTGTGCATCTCCAGGTGTGACCCAGAAAGCAAATAAATCAATCAATAAATAAATAAACAAACAAACAAACTGTAGCACATTAAATGTTTGACCAGGGCTAGAGAGATAGTACAGGGTTTGAGGCATTTGCTTTGCACACAGCTGATCTGGGTCTGTTCCCAGCACCCCTTCGGGTCCCCTGAGCCCCATCAGGAATGAGCCCTGAGCACAGAGCCGGGAGGAAGCCCTAAACACAACCCCCTGTGGCCACAATATCAAAACAAACAAAAATTTGAAAGCCCTGGTCACTCCCTCCCCCTGCCATTAACAACTCTGAAGAGTTTAGGAAGTGGGGAGGTGGGGGGGGCTAGAATCTTTAAATCATCCACCACCAAACAGACAGTGATTAGAGTATGAAAAGAATAGGAACTCGGAAAAGATTTGCATTTAAAAAAAAAAAAAGACAGCCGCAAAGGCAAAATAAGAAATTACTGTTTGGCTGTCGCCTAAAGCATAGCGGACTGTTTCTAATTAGTTATCCTTGGTGTTTTGATTTTATAATCTTTAGACACTGATAAGCTTTGATCTGTGTTGTCTTATATACTAGAACTACATCAGGATTAGAACCACATCAGCACTACTTTAATTAACTCTTGTTTTGATTCTTCCTCTTTGACCCAGTTACAATCCAGTCACTAAGCCTAAATGATTCCACTTGCTTGGAGGCTCCCTAACGAAGCTAGGGCCAGCAGTTCCTTGGTGATGGCAGACCCTTGGGGGAGCAGGGATTGAACCTGGGAGTTGAACCTGGTACCCAGTGCATGCCAGACATGCACTCCAGCACTCTGAGATTTTCTCCCCGGCGCCAAACCTAAGGATTCCTTCCTTCAAGTGTCTCTTGAGGGGCCAGAAAGATAGTACATAGGTGTTAAGACACTTGACTTGTATGTGGCTATCACTGATCCCCAGCTGGCTTATCTCCCCCAAGCAGTGACAACAGGGATCCCTGAGCGCAGAGCCAGGAATAAGCCTTAAGCACTGCCGAGTGTGACCCAAAACAAGCGAAAACACAAACGATCTGATCTATGGGATGAGCCTCCACAAAAGACCAGATTGACTTTTCCTAGCATGTTCATTGTAGGCATTTTTCTGATAAGTGTCTCCTTGGTGTGGAGAACACATGTCACTGGCGAGCTACAGAGAGAAACTGTTAGATCAAGAATATAGGTCATCTAGTGCTCATTTTGGCAACACAAACTAAAATTGGAACAAAACAGAGATTAGCATGGCTCCCCCTACACAAGCATGACATACAAATTCATGATGCATTCCAATTTTTTAATAAAGTAAAAAAAATCATATAGACTACCTAGTTTATAGCATATTGCTAGAAATAACTTTTTATCATAGAAACACTCTTAAGGAAGAGTATATTCAGAGGCAAGGTTTTCTCACATCAAATCACCATTTCTTTTTTTTTTTTTTGGCATTTTGGGTCACACCGGTGATGCACAGGGGTTACTCCTACTCCTGACTCTGCACTCAGAAATTACTCCTGGCGTTGCTCAGGGGACCATATGGGATGCTGGGGATTGAATCCAGGTCGGTCACGTGCAAGGCAAATGCCCTACCTGCTGTGCTATCGCTCCAGCCCCTCACCACATCTTTTCATGTGGAGTTTTTCTTTCCTTTCTCCTTGGCACCCAAGTCCCCCAAACGCATCACTTATATTATTTTCCTCACTGACCAAAATTGGAACCTGCCTGATCACTTAAGTTTGTCTGTGTCCAATACTGGACTGATTTTTCCTATGGTAACTCGACTGATGCTGTTCAAGTACTCACGCAGCCAGGGAAGAACATGGAGGCTAAGAGATTAGCCTCTGCATCCCATCAGATCCAAGTCTGCATCTTACAGCTGAGGAAACTGAGGTCCAGACCTGGAATGACTTAGCCCCAGTACTTCAGTTAGAACATGCAAAACCACATCTTGTCACTCCCAACCTAATGTTCTTCTCCTTGACTCTAGGAAGACTGTTCTGTCAATGGTCTTGTCATCTTCACATGCTACTTACTGGTGTTTCTTTGTACCTTCCCTGCCTACAATTGGAAAACTCCATGTTTTCAACTTTATTCAGATCCCTACAGAGGTCTTTCTGCTTAACCCTAATTCTACAGAATAATAATCATATAATGCCTTATCTTTTTTCCCTTTCTGATTTTTACCCTAAAATTAATGAACAGCTTAAAAATAAACAAGAAGGGGGTTGGAGCGATAGCACAGTGGGTAGGGCGTTTGCCTTGCACGCGGCCAACCCGGGTTCGATTCCCAGCATCCCATATGGTCCCCTGAGCACCACCAGAAGTGATCCCTGAGTGCATGAGCCAGGAGGAACCCCTGTGCATTGCAGGTGTGACCCAAATAGCAAAAAAAAAAATAAAATAAAATAAAAATAAACAAGAAATCTCTACATAAATTGTGCTATGAAAGTGTTAACTGACATATACAAACCTACTTATAAGAACTACAGATTTTCCAAATGACTGAATATGTTTACTAACATTTCCATGTCTTTCCCTTCCTGTTTAGTCTAAACACTTGTGATCCAAATGACCATCACAACATATTTCTCTAAGAGTTTGTAACCCAGAACATTAGGATCAACTGTGGGCCAAAAAGAGAAACCGGGAAGGGGGCAGGGCTTTCAAAGAAAAAGAGAGAGAGAGTGAGAGAGAGAGCGGTTCCCAGCCAAGAGTCACTGAGTCAGAATGAATAGGGCTGAACCCAAACATAACAAATGCACCAAGTCATCTGTTCCTGCAACAGAGAATTATGACACCTCAGAGCTTGGCACTGTGCTAGGAGGTGGAGATGTACTTTCCCTGCCTGAAACGTCAATCATGATCACGATCACGATCATCCTGTTGTTCGTCGATTGCCTCGAAGAGGCCCCAGTAACGTCTATTCGTCCTAGCCCTGAGATTTTTAAAAAATGCCATATTCAAGGCTCTCTTAGGTCACACCCACCATCTGACCCCCAGCGCCCGTGTAATCCCATCAAAGGCCAAGACCCAGAGAAACGTCAATCAAGTTCGTGAAATTATGTTTACCTAATAATCACACAAACATATGGCAAAGGATGATAAAGGCTATGAATTCAATGTGAAGTAAAGATTAGGCTGATCAGGCAGAGTTTTATGTAAGCCCTGCAAAACATCTGAATTTTATTCTGAAGGTAATAGGAAGCTTTGGGAGACTTATAAGTTAAGGAATGCTAGAATAGAATTTACACTGCTTTTGCTGGGAGTATGAAACTATTGCAAGTGGGGGAGGAAAATAAACTCAGGCAGCCATAAAGAGATGCTGCAAAAATCTTTTTTTAAAAAAAAAAATGTGTTTGTGTGTGTGTGTGTGTGTGTGTGTGTGTGTGTGTGTGAGTGATAGTACCTCAGACAAAGGAAGTGAAGAGAAATAAAGAAAGGATAGTTACATATAAGCCTGCAACTGAGAAATTTGGTTCTCTCAGAGAGAGAAATTTTAGATTCATTAGTGTGTATATAAAACCATTAGATTCATTAGCGTGTCTATAAAACCATGTCTACGAATGAACTTGTCTACAGGGAGAAAAGGAAGTACTTAAATCCAAACCTTACAATATGTTAACGCATAAGAGAATAAATGACAAAAGAGGCTGAAGAAGAGAATGCAGATAAATAGACAGCTAGAGAAGTGGGAGAGAAAAAGAGATTAGACAACTTTTATTTTTAGATTAAAAACGGGAAAGGGGACTGGAGCACAGCAGGTAGGGCGTTTGCTTTGCACGCAGCCGACCTGGGTTCGATCCCTGGGTTCGATCCCATATGGTCCCCCAAGCACCGCCAGGAGTAATTCCTGAGTGCAGAGCCAGGAATAACCCCTGAACATCGCTGGGTGTGACCCAAAAAGCAAAAGAAATAAAATAAAATAAAATAAAAATAAAAATGGGAAAGACTTAGAATGGGAAAGATAAAGAAAGTTAAGTTAATAAACTAAAAATAGTGTTTCTCCATCTGTTTTTTTTTTTTTAATGTGAGGTAAACTCTCTATGAAAAGATCCAGAAACAAGAACCCAGCTGAAGATTCAGGAAAAAGAGATGGTCAATATTGTTAAGATTTCTAGAGTGTCAAAAGAAGTGAAAAGGCAGAACCCATCATGGCCTTACACACACACACACACACACACACACACACACACACTGCAGCCTTTTTTTTTTTTTAAGAAGAAAATAAGCAAAAACTGGGTGCAGAGGCAGATACTGTGAAAAAATCTGGCATAAGAAATTTAAAATGCGGGCCTGGAGTGATAGCACAGCGAGTAGGGTGTTTGCCTTGCACACGGCCAACCCAGGTTCGATTCCCAGCATCCCATATGGTCCCCTGAGCTCCGCCAGGAGTAATTCCTGAGTGCAGAGCCAGGAGTAGCCCCTGTGCATCACCGGGTGTGACCCAAAAAGCTAAAAAAGGGGGGGAAAAAAGAAACTTACAATGTTTTCCTAACTCACACTTTCATTTGTGGGAAAAGGGTGGAAAGAGACACTCTACTGATAATGAAGGGGGGGATTATAATCTCCCCCAGGAATGGGTATTTTCCTGAACCCCTTCTCTCATCCAAAAAAAAAAAAAAAAAAACACAAGTTGTCTGGTATTCAACCAGACCGGAACTAACCATCTGCAGAGCTGACATTGTTCTAGGCCCAACAGTTCCTCACAGTGATCAGATGTGGGAAAAATGAATCCAGCCAAAAACCAAGATGCAGCCCAAACAAGGCTGCAGTCTGACGAGCAGGGCATCAGATATTTATCTTCTACTGCTTTCACTCTTTGTAGAATTAGTGTATTTTGCCATACAAGGCACACAAGGGACAAAGACCCCAAGCACCACCAGGTGAGGCCTAAAAATATAAAACACCTCAATAATTTAAATTAAATTATAATTTCCTTTTAAATTATAATTAAATTAAATTATATTATAATTATCGCTGGAGTGATAGCACAGCGGTAGGGCGTTTGCCTTGCACGCAGCCAACATGGCCGACCCGAGTTCGATTCCTCCGCCCCTCTGGGAGAACCCGGCAAGCTACCGAGAGTATCTCGCCCGCACGACAGAGCCTGGCAAGCTCCCCGTGACGTATTCGATATGCCAAACACAGTAACAAGTCTCATGATGGAGACGTTACTGGGCCCGCTCGAGCAAATCGATGAACAATGGGAGGACAGTGACAGTGACAGTTTAAAAATGATTTTCTGTTTTCTATCACAATTATAGTCTACTAGGGATAGAAAGTTCACCTTTAATAATATATTAATGGTAATTAGCATATCTACTAAAACATCATATGTGTTCTGACCTGAGAATCCTGGGCTCAAATCCTCAATTTAGCACTGAGCCATATCATCACCCTCCCTTCTATCTCTTTAAAGAGGAAAAAAAGTTCTTACCTAGAAAACCCTCAACACTTCCCCCAATAACTTATTTCCTACCAGAACAGGAACAGGATTACCATGATAACTTTCAATCCAAACAGATTTACCCCTAATTCCGCAAACACAAAAGCTCATAGAGTACAGTATTACCTAAATGAAATTGCGACTATATTAAAAGTCCTTCTTTTGAAAATAATCAATCTACTACAGCTATTTTTCCCAATTTTTTTTTGTTTTGCTTTTTGGGTCACACCCGGCGATGCACAGGGGTTACTCCTGGCTCTGCACTCAGGAGTTACTCCTGGTGGTGCTCAGGGGACCATATGGGATTCTGGAAACTGAACCCGGGTCGGCCGCGTGCAAGGCAAACGCCCTATCCTCTGTGCTATCTCTCCAGCCCTATTTTTCCCTATTCTTAAAGTAAGAGAACAGGTACCCCAAAAAAAGCAACTTGCCAAAATCAGAAAACTTTCCAGAGACAAAAGATCCAAGAACTGAGTCAGATCTCTTTCACAAAGTCACCACACTGTTCAGCCTTCCTGTGTAGGTGGCGGGGAGGGGAGGAGAGCTGGAGAGACGTCACAGGGGTTACAGTGCTCACCTTGCAGGTGCATATGGCAACTCTGGTCCAGATGGTCCAATTCCATCCACGTATATCCACACATCACCACTGGGATCAGCTCCCACCTCTGCCAGGCATGCCCCCTCAGCCTTCCCAAACACAAAAACTTTGGGAGAACTTGATATAACTACAGTGGTTAATTCTTTTTATTTTCCATGTATCAGTGGCTGGGATACAGAGGCTGCTAAAGAAAAACAGCCACCATGCATCAATCACAGAACTGGTCTGGCCCCTTCAATTCACTGTATACAAACCACAGCATCCAGTAACCCCAGGATAGACCATGGTTCATCCTTAACTGGAATATCTTAGCTTTTAAATTTCATTATCAGAGAGTCCAGGACATTCATCTAAAAGGCCTGGATTCAACTGGATAGAGCAAAACAATATATGTATTCTCTAAAACAAGAGGACGCATTTCTATAACATAGCATTAAAAGAGTAGGTCTTGGGGCTGGAGCGATAGCACAGCGGGTAGGGCATTTGCCTTGCACATGGCTGACCTGGGTTCGATCCCCGGCATCCCATATGGTTCCCCAAGCACTGCCATGAGTAATTCCTGAGTGCAGAGCCAGGAATAACCCCTCTGCATCGCTGGGTGTGACCCCCCCAAAAAAAGAGTGGGACTAATAGTCAAAGACTATCACAAAGTGTAATTTGCTCACTTAATTCCCTCTATCTTTCATCCACAAGCATCTGTGAATTCCTACACCAGGTCAAAGACTCTATTAGAAAGAATCAACATGAAAATTAATAAAAAGAAAAGTAGAGTTGCTATTTCACAGGACTCACTATCTCACCTTTAATAAAGCTGTCATTTTCGGGGACTTCCACAACACTCATCCAGGATTTGTGGGATCACCAGAGTCACACACAGCAGTGGTGCCCCATGTGGGGAGAGAGGGAAGTACTGCCAGGGATCAAAGTTAGAGACTCATATGGGCATTGTACTCCTTTGAGTCATATTACTTTTTTTTTTTTTGCTTTTTTGGGTCACACCCGGTGATGCACAGGGGTTACTCCTGGGTCTGCAGTCAGGTATTACTCCTGGCGGAGCTGGGGGGAACATATGGGATGCCAAGAATCAAACCCAGGTCAGCCACATGCAAAGTAAACATCCTACCTACTATCGCTACCTACTATCTACCTATTATCGCTCTGGTCATTTTCTTTTTTGAGTCATATTTTTTAAACTTCACAAAGGGTAGTTTGGAAAGACAGAACTAGTCCTAGAGACAGACCATAGCCAACACTGCACCATGTCCACGTACTTGAGACACTGAACTATAAGCTGAAAAACCTGGTTCAAATGACTGACTTCACGCTCCCTGTGTCTGAGCATGACTTCTGAAAAAGAAAAGGAAGAGCTGGAGAAGACCTCCATTCATTGAAAGCAAGCCCACCTTGCAAGCATGAGGCCACAGGTCTGATCCCCGGCACCATCTCAACTGTGGCACTGGCATTTGGGACCCAGGGGCCAGTGCCCAGCAAATACACCTGACTGTGGGCCAACCCTAGTCCTTGTAAACACAGCAACAAAGGGGAGATGACTCATGTACAAGAGTCAAGCTCAAAAAAGGGGGAGGTGTACTAGAGCGATAACACAGAGGGTAGGGCATTTGCCTCGCACTCGACTGACCCAGGTTTGATTCCCAGCATCCCAAATGGTCCCCTGAGCACCGCCACGAGTAATTCCTGAGTGCAGAGCCAGGAGTAACTCCTGTGTATCATCGGGTGTGAACCAAAAAGCCAAAAAAAAAAAAAGAGCCAGGCTCTGAGATCAATCCTCAGTACATATAACCTGCCCCCCGCCCCAGCATCACCAAATGTAGCTCTGGAGACCCCTAACACCATCAGGGCATCCACTAAGTCAGGCATTGCTAGGAGTGGTCCTCCTCCCTAAATAACTAATTGGTAAAAGAAGTTTCTGATTAGAGGTCACATTCAGCAGGCTTCATGACTTACTCTTCAACTGTGCTCAGGGGTCACTCTTGGTGGGGCTCACGAGACTATATTTAGTATCTGAGATCAAACCCCGGTCAGCCACAAGTAAGGCAAGCACCCTGCCTGCTGTACTGCCCTCTTAGGTCCATAGGAAAAGAATTTAATGAAAAGAGGGGAAAAGAAAGGGAAACAATTTTTTTTCTTTTTGGGTCACGCCCGGCAATGCACAGTTACTCCTGGTTCATGCACTCATGAATAACTCCTGGTGGAGCTCGGGGTACCATAGGGGATGCTGGGAATCGAACCCGGGTTGGCTGCATGCAAGGCAAATGCCTTACCCGCTGTGCTATCGCCCCAGCCCTAAGAGAGGGAAAAAATTAAATTGTACCTTTCATTTATAAAGCTTTCATCTTTCAATAAAAGGAAAGACCTGCACTGAGCAGCAGGTGTTATGGAAGAGGGGAGCGTGGAAGACCCGTAAAGGAGGAGCTGGATGCCGCCCAAGAAATCAGAACAGCCTCCCCCATTGCCTGCCTCGTCTTTCCAGCACAGGGAAGGAAGGCTGTCAGTCTGTTCCGGTATAAGCCGTCTTCTTCAAGGCCAGCATGAGCCAATGTACTCTGGAAGCCACAGCTACCCTCCAGACAGGATGCCACTGTTTTCTGACCTGTCACTGTTCGCTCCACGCTTTCTGCTCAGTTGCCACCACCCGCCAGCAGGCGCTTACCAGATGCAACTTGTGGAGTGCTTCAAGGACAGAACTGTCCAAACAAAGATGTGGGCTCTTGAGAAGGACAGGCGGTTCCAGACAAACCTGACAGCAGAAGCAAACGGACCCAGGCAGCTGCGGTGCAGCAAGGCCAGAAAGATAAGGACTTTCAGAAAGGCTGTAAACAGCAGTGTGATGCTGGCAACTTTTCCGGAACCTTCCACAGCCACTAACTCCAAAGAATGTCCATCTAACAAAAGGAGCAACTCAATTTGGACAGCTTCTGATTTACGTAGTAATTTGACACCCACAATGTCTACAAAACAGGGCTCCAAGAGAGGGATAGTGTTAGGTACCCAAAAGCCAGACCTACTGTCAGACTGCAGCCATGACAGGCCACAGCTAATGGTTTTTTTTGTTTGTTTTTTGTTTTTTTAATTAGTGAAACACCATGAGGTACAGTTGTAGACTTACAAATGTTTGTGCTTGGGTTTCAGTTATACAATGATCAAGTTCCCATCCCTCCACCAGTGCCCATTTCCCACCACCATGAATCCCAGTATCCCTCCCACCCCCATCCCCTCATCCCACCCTGCCTCTGTGGCAGGGCATTCCATTTTGTTCTCTCTCTCCTTTTGGGTGTTGTGGTCTGCAAAAGAGGCATTGAGTGGCAATCATGTTCGGTCCATAGTCTACTTTCAACATGCATCTTCCATCCTGGGAGGATCCTCCAAACACCCTTTATTTGGTGCTCCCTTCTCTATCTGAGCTGCTCTTTCCCCTAGAATGCCCAGTTGGCCTCACCGCAGCTAATGTTAAGTTTTGACTAGGCCTAAGTTTCTGTTTCCCAGGAACCGAACTTGGAATTTCTGGTAAGGAACTGCTAGATTATCTGACTGGTCATGAAGGGTTACTAGGTTACTATGTCCATTTTTTTTTTGGAACAACCACAAACTGACTGGCTGTCGCTATGTCCAAATATATATATATATATATATATATATATATGTATATATATTGCTTTTTGAGTCACACACATCGATGCTCTGGGGTTACTCCTGGCTCTGCACTCAGGAATTACTCCTGGCAGTGCTAGGAGACCTATGGGATGCCGGGAATTGAACTCAGGTCAGCCAGTGCAAAGCAAACGCCCTATCCACTGTACTATTGCTCCAGCCCCATTATGTCCATTTTTTGGAACAATCAGAAACTACTATTAAATGTTGACTAATCAGTCACTGACAACTGTTACTTGGTCACTGTTATCATAGCGCTTGCTCAACCTTGGAACCTATATAAACTGCTTTCTCTTGGAGCTCGGGGTCGCTATCAAGAGACCACTTTGTTGGTGAGATAGTTGATCCCAGTTAACTGGCATAAAACTCCTTTGCAGTTGCATTAGTGTCTCTGACTGTGTCGTTCACACTGTGACCCGAAAACTCAGGCACAACAATAACAGATCTTGGGGCTATTTCTTGTCTATACCCCAACATGGGCTTGACACTGAGACAAAATGAACTGTGGCAATAGTAGAACAACACTGTGAATGTGCTGATGGCACTGAATTTGATGCTGACAATTGAATCCAGTGGTATATTTTGTGTTATCTGGAGTTGATCAGAGCTATCGAGCCCGCAATACTATCTCGTTGACTGGTTCCCACTTGAATCTAAATTCCCAGAGCAGCTCTTGTGAAAACACAGATTAACTCCCTGACATTGTAAATCTAGGATGCCAAGTTATGCAAGTCACCTCGAGAGGGCAAATGCACAATATCAACTCTCACCATCAAGGAATTGCCAGAATAAGTCGGAGGCCCTGTTGCTGCCTCAGTTCCTGCCTTCACCAGACAACACTGCCTTCTCAGTGGGATAAATAAAACTACTCCTTGCTGTCGGTTTACATCAGTGCTTCTTCAAATGTGCTCCAGAAAACACAGAGAATTTTCTAGAGTGAGAATTTTCTAGAGTGCTTCTTACCAACAGTCTGGAGCAATAGCACAGTGGGTAGGGCGTTTGTCTTGCACGCAGCTGACCCAGGTTCAATTTCTCGGTCCCTCTCGGGGAGCCCAGCAAGCTACTGAGAGTATCCCGCCCACACGGCCGAGCCTGGCAAGCTCCCCGGGGCATATTCAATATGCCAAAAACAGTAACAATAAGTCTCACAATGAAGACATTACTGGTGCCCGCTCATGCAAATCCATGAAGATCAAATACAGTGAGGTGGGCAACTTGGCCAGATAAGTCACTCAGAAAGGGAAGACACATGTCCCCCTGCCCTGGGGACGAGGCGACAGGGTTTAGATTATCTATCATGGAATCTGGACTCTTGGTGACTTTGTTCTTTCTGAAGTCAGAGGAATAGGAGCATTTATGCTCGAGTCACCAAGATGCCAGATGCCAGGACTCTGGGTCTTGGGAGGCTTGTGGGGAAAGGATTGGCATAGCCAGACCCCTCCTAGCTCCGAGGAGCCTGGGTTTCTAAGACTCTAAACATTAGACTTTTATGTTATTTTTAGTGAACCTGTAAACAGCCTCATAAAAAAAACTGCAGTGCAGGTTTTAAATAATAAATGCAAACAAAAATGTTCGCAACTAAATCTGGTATATGCATGTAACAAACTAT